CCTTGACAGATAGGCCGAGAAACTGCTAGGATTTTGAGTCTGGATTTAGGGGTTGATTTATCAACCAAAACGACATGAGTTGAAAACCATAGACTTGATGCCAAATCCTAATGGGATAATGGCAAGGACAAGAATTAACTTAGAATGTCACTATAGGGAGAGCAGCGTTTGGAGAATGAGCCAACGGGTTTCTTTGCTCTACTATCGCTCTCCTCAGCTTCCTCATTAGATGGTCATTTAAACGCTGGCTTCGTGGCATGTCATTTATCAAGCATGTTTCAACAAAGTGCTCTTACGCTGCGACTCCACAACAAATTGCTCTTTCTGCGTTCTCCGTGTTGTCGACAACACTGTTGCCAGTAATTGCTGTATGAATGTAATATTCTGTCTAAAGAGCAGCTCAGAATTGTCTCTTCTTTGCAAATGACTGCGGCGTTGATTTGATTATGCACAGGAAAGTGCTACCCCCGCTCTGATTGAGGCTTATTGTATTGCCTTGAACTATGTTTGCTGCCGCTGCACAGTTAACGCCTCCATGCCTTGAATCTAATGTCAATTCAGCTGTGGGGAAAGGTGCGCTCTGTGCAGTTGTGGTGCCTTATGTAGGTCAATTCTTCTTCTGCATTCACCGCTTGGTCTTGTGATGAGTGATCTCATTTTGCAAGGGAACTGTGCTTTTATTATTCATACTCCAACAGAGATTGGAGTTGCGGTGCATTAAAGCATGACGTTGTCATTTCCCCGCTCGCACAACTGTTATTCCCTTTGCCCCAAATAGAAATTAAACTCTACATTTGATGCTAGCTCTAATTGTTTTTCTCTCGCAGTCACAAAACTCCAGTTAAGCCTCATCTCTCTGGACGTACAGTCCGCCGTTTCATTGATTGATTTTCTTTGCAGCCCCCTCAAACTGCTGTTTAAGTCATTTCTCTGCAGCTTGCCATTTAAGCATTCATGAGTCTTTTCTGTCACAGAAGTGGCTTTTCTCCCTTCAGATTGAATGCATATTGGTCTCGTTTCTAACTAGCTCCAAAATGGATCTGAACTGCTACACAGATTTTCTGCAATGAAGTACCTTAACACAATAAGTGGGTAGCGTGAAATTGACCTCTGAAATGCAGAAGTTTAAGACACTTGCATTGCACTGAAGACAGCTATTGAGTGAATTCAAACTAAATGGATTCTATTTGGGACTCTTTCCGCAGAATGGGTAATGCTCTAATGCCCTAAATATTGCCTCATGGAGGTTGCACTTTAACGGCTGCTGGATAATCAGCAGCCAAGATAGACTCAACTTTTCTTCGGAGCAGTTTCTCCCCATTTGTTGCTCCAAAGCAGCGTGTGTTCCCATATATCTTTTGGGTTGTGTCTCCTCTGTTGATCTAATTGGATACCCTCTGTTGGCTACAATGAATCATGGCTGCTCTCCTCTCCTCTCCTCCAGTACTTATTTTTATTGAATGCAGGGATCCCTGCATCACAAGGCTCAACCTTAAAACTTGTATTTGTCCCTTGGCTCCAAGCATTGATCTTTTTTCCTTCTTTTTTTTTAAAACCGCTCTGTTCGTATCACTTTTGTTCCAGCAGAAGATTATGGGCTAGTTTTTATGTGTCCCTAGAGAGAAGCCAGGAGTTGTGGCCAGGCTCCCCTCTGCACTAATTGACTCCTAATTTGGCAAATGCATTTTAAGGTGGAATGAAAAAGCTGACCCCTCTTAGTGTTCATACACGGGCATGCCACTTGCACCCCCCCCCGGTTTTACTATTGTTACTTATCTCTCCTCTGCCCTCTACTCTTGACCTCTACTGGGCTCTACGAGGCTCTGCTGCAGCACCCCATGACTTTTGGGACAGAAGTTTAAATCCTGCCAGTTCTCAGGCTCTTCAGCACTCGGCTGCTGATCCACACTGCAAACACCTCCAGGAAAGTGGCTCTCGCTGAGCCGATCGAAGGCAACGATTTTTTTAATTACTCTCCTGCTGCTGAATGGAAAGGCACGAGTTTTGCCTGCGGGTATCAGTATCGACTTGAGTGTATGATGTTTTAATGAGCCTGGCGTGTAAATGATTTGTTTCGGTTGTGTTATTCATGAAAGCTAATTTGATGTTTTTCTCCTGTGTTCTCAGTGGATGGATTCTCAGTTGACTTGGAGACAGATTTAAGGATTTTGAGACAGCAGGATGTCAAAGATCTCTAAGACAGCTAAGGCTGTGAAGAAAGTGGATGCGGGCAGTTTAATCCGGGCTATCGTGAGGTCAGGACAAGCGGCCCCTGGACCCCCACTCGGCCCCGTGCTCGGACAGGTAAAATCACTTCCCGTTCTATCTGTTCGCTCCCAGTCATTCATTAAATTGCAGTAGCAGGGCTTCATTTTGTCAGCTGACCTTCCGTAAACAGGTCTCATTAACCGTCACACAACCTGAGCCTCTTTTCACTTTGCCCATCACATAGTTTCCTCTCTCTCCTCTCTCTCAGTCAACTCATTGTAAAACCTCAGCACCACATCCATTTCCCCTCATACCACTATTCATATTCCCATTCTTATTCTGCTCGCACAGCTCCATGGTGCAGGTGGGGGCCGCTCTCTGCTTCAGGCTGCAACTATTTTCTCACAGTTTCCAGGCCAAAGACACTAACGCCTCCATCCACAGCAGCTGTCCGTTTACATTAGCCTCACGCTTTACAAGCCAGTCGATGAAACGGCACTAAACCTGTGAAGGTTTTGTCTTAAATTCTTGTATACTTCTTCCGCACTTGCTCCGGAGAGACAGCTGAGGTTTTCTTGTGTTTTATTGCTCTGGGATGCACCACTACCAATGTGCCCATTCCTACTAGATATATATGTGTATACGCAGACCTCAAGTGTTGAGCAATGGAGAAAGACGGATTGTTTCAAAAATAACTAAGGCTATCCTTCCTTCTGTTGCTTAATAGGGATGGGAATTTGAAAGTAAATGTATATTAGAATATTAAACCCCCCCAAAAACGCTTAACCGGTTAACCGAAATGTACATATCCTATAAAAAAGAATTCTAATTTTTTTTTCCAAAATATTTTTTTTCAATAACTTTTTTTACACCGCGCTCACTAACCTGGTCGAAATATTTCCACACATTACTCCTTTTTGACGCCATGTCTGTTGTGTAGGACTCTTCTTAGAGTGTAAATAATTACCGGACTATGACTGGTAAAATATGTTGAATACCGGCAAAACTAAATCTCTCCTGTCAAAATGTCTAGGCACTTTGCCGCCACACACGGTTGCCAAGCAGCGCTTATTGTTGTTTAGGCTGGCCACTCATGTCATGTGTCGCGAGTGATGACAGGGGGCGGGGGAACACGCTCATGAACTGTTAGCGCCGGAACCTCGCAATGGCTGCGGAGCGCATTTGCGCCGCATTTGGGCATAAGATGAGGTTTGAGTCTGCGTGATCTGCGTGTAGGGAGGGGCAGCAGCCATATCATTAGCTAGACTAGATCTGATGGATTTGGACATAAACGCGAGTGAAGTATAACCGGACGCGAGAGAGAGAGAGAGAGAGATCAGCACCTGCAGCTCTGCCCGCGGTGATGGACCGGTGAGCGGAGCAAAACACACCTTTAGACGTCACCCAACACATTTAGCTATGGCACTGTGTATACATTGAATTATTCAATTTGATAATATGTAATCAACTTAGGCATCCCTCCCAAAAAATAAATAAATATATATATATTAATAACTCATATTCGAATACCTGAATAATTATTCGAATACCTGAATGATTTCGAGTATTCGAATATTCGATTAATCGTTCCCATCCCTATTGCTTAACTATGAAAATGCTGATGCTGTGTTGATTAACCTCATCTGTATTTCTATCTGTTTTTAAATCTGTGCTGTAAAACTTTTATATTATTTTACACCATAAACACACAATCTGCTCCCGCTGTTATGGTGGTTCAGCTGTTCAACTTTGATAGTCCTTTGTGAGACTGAATGAAGGCAAGCATCTGTCTCGTTCTGTACATACAAATGATCCAGTGAGGCTCTTTAATGGACAGTGCCCATCAGCCTTGACTGCTGTTGCACGCTTTGAGACGAGATCAATTCTCACAGTTCATCAATCTCCGTGACTTAACGACGACGCTCGGAGAATGGGATGGAAAAATGAACAAATCTGGCAGGAAAGAGCTACACACTATTAGCAATGTCAGGAAAAAGCAAATGCTGGATGTCAGAAAGGAGTTAGATGATGTGAAAACATCCCATTTTTCTTTTCCGATGTTACAGTGTGGGAACTTTATGTTTTCTTTGTTCAAAATGATGTACGCTGCCGTCACCAGCTCAAATATTACATAAAGTAAATTAATTGCTACCAGACTGGGAGTTATTTAGTTCTCCGAAATACTGCAGTTATAATTAGTCTTAAACCCATTTCTGTTTGAATGTTCTCTGTATTGATCCACACATACGATTTGATATTATTCGTATTATTGTATTCACATATTTAGGCTTCAATTAACCTTTTCTTTAATGATTAATTTGCTGATTACTTTTTGGATTATTCTTTTGCTCTAGATAACTATAACTCAAATCTGAACCTACCCTCAGCTCTACAAAGCATTTCATTGTCTTTAAACCAATACTTTAGATTTCTATGCCCACAACTTTTCTGTTTTGGTTTATTCTCAAGATTCACATAGTATTGTTTTGGACCGTATTTGGCTGCTGCTCAATATTGGATGTATAACTGGATGCAGTGTCGGAGGTGGTGCCCCATCACTCCTCATAGAGTTGGTCCGGGGTCATCCCGCCTCCGATCCACAGCGCCTCAGCTCACTAAGATGAACGGAGAGGGAAAATAACCCTTGATTCGGGCTTTAGTGCATTTTACAACTTTAAGACCCTAATGATTTAAATAAGGGCTTTAAAAGTGTTTGTGCTGGGTAGTTTATTCAGCTCAAAAATTATTGTACGCTGATTTACAGACATCTCTTTCCCAATCCCAAACTTGCTTCAGCAGCTGGCGCTCTTCCTGGGGGCTTCTTTTTGTTTTACCCGCTGTACACTACCTTCTTAGGAACATAGGACAATAACGTTAGGGACACTATGCTTAACATAGTGGAGCTTATACTTATATCTTATTGTATAAGGGTCCATTTTAGAGGCGGAAGTGGCTCAGTCTGTAGGGACTTGGTCTTGGAACCGAAGGGTCGCCGGTTCACGTCCCGATCGGACCTCAAAACATAATATGGAGTGAGCTGGTAGCTGGAGAGGTGCCAGTTCACCTCCAAGGCCACTGCCGAGGTGCCCTTGAGCAATGGACCTAACCTCAAAACTGCTCCCTTGGCGCCGGGTACCTGGCAGCCTCTCTGCTCTGCCACCTCTCCTATCTGCATGTGGTTGTGTGTGTGCATGTATATCCTCTGTGTTTCTGCATGTTAGGAGAGGTGGCAGAGCAGAGAGGCTGCCAGGTACCCGGCGCCAAGGGANCTCAGCGGGGGGGGGGGGGTGGGGGGGGGAGTGAGTGAGAGGGGATCAGTCAGGCAGAGAAACTCACCCGTCTGTCCCGCGCCTTTCTCAATCCCCGCTGCCTGCTTCAGGAAGTACGACACCGTGGGCCTGCCGATCCGAAGCTCATACGTTCGGTCAGGCTGTGGAGAAACAATAGGAATTACTTTGATATCTTTTATATTTTCGTTAGCTTTAATCGGCTCTTAGTATATAGTGTACATTTGACGGATAGTCTTCAGATTTAAATGGTTCACTGCCAAGATGTATTTATTTTCCTTTTTAGTTTGGCTTTATTTTCTATTTTGAGATGTGTATATTTTGTTTAGTTTGTTTGCATGCTGCTGTGACGATACAATAAATCCCAAATTGGGATAAATAAAGTATATTTGATCTTAAAACCTTTGTGGTGAAAAAGGCTTTGTACTCCCATGAAAAGAGGGTCCCACATGTTGCAGAATAAACACAGAATACCTGCAGTTTGAGCCCCTACTGGTTCTGTGAGGATAGTTTCATTTCATCAAACTTTAAAGGCTGAATATACTAAATGCATTTGTTTTTGGAAAATGATTTAACAATATTGTATTTAAATGATAAAGTATAAAGTATCCTCTTTATAATCAGAAACAAAAGCGTCCTTGGTGTTTAATGTTAGCTTCGGGTCGGACCAAATGTACTGTATCTTTATGTATGACCCTTGGTATTTACTGAAATGAATAAAAACCGAGTAGAAGCACAAACTGAAGATGGGACCAATGAATTATTCAACCAACATTCAGAGCGCGTCGCTTTGTTAAAGTGCACAAAGTTAAAATCCTTTATTATTGACGCTACATGATTAAAGCTAAGACAAACGTGTTTGTATCGACCGCTGCCTGCTCTCCACAGAGGCTGCAGTCGTCAGTATTCAAGTTCCCGTGATTGAGGGTTACCTGCTTTTTCTTTCATCTCTCTCAGAATAAAGCTTCCTTCATTTCACACTCTGAGCCTGATTACGCACCGTGTTCATTGCAACATTTATTGAACAAAAACAACCTCAGCTTTTTCTCAAGAATATGAAAAGTGTTGGTTACTGTTCCGCCTATAAACCCATTAATCATTCTGTCTTTGTGTTTCAGGGCTTTCAGAAAAAAAAATACCTCTCGAAGATTACATGGTGAATGTGAGCAAGCGATTGTCCACTTCCAGTCAATACGGACCAATATCAGCATTTACTCGTAATCTTCTTTACAAATGTTTTGGTCACTACTCGGCTCCTCAGAGAATCCTTTGGCTCTTCCAAATGTGACGCTATGTAAGGAAAGCAATGAAAAAGAACCAAAACTGTGAGATTATTTGCTGTAAAAGCAAAAAGGAGATCTTAGGAGAACTGCAGAGATGGTTGATCATTCTGCAGCTTTAACACTAGAACCGCCAACGGGTCAATTTGACACGCAGCTGTTTTTTGATTGTATGTCACTTTTTTTCAATAAAATATTAATGTCTCCCAGTCCGTGACTTTTCCTGAAAGTGCGTTACGTAGCACCCTCTGTTGTAAAATATTGTCAATATGAAGTCAGATTGAAAAAATGCCATTTATACCTATATCCGCCAGCGGGTAATATTTACCTCGTAGAAAATGCAACGTAAACATGACGTGTTGCTATAGCAACGCCTTTTGTCTACTGCGGTTCCTTATAGATAGAGAGATAGATTGAGAGAGAGAGAGATAGATAAATAGATAGATAGAGAAATAGAGAGATTTGTACCTAAACAAAACACAAGTCTAAAACCTGTTTACATGAGGTCTTAATATTAGTTTATCTGCCCCCCCCCTGCGTGTTTAACTGTGGGCTGATGCACATTTGCTCTCCAGCCTCACTGACTCGCCCTTTCCATCCTCCCTTCAGGACCAAAATAAAAAACCTCTCTTCAGCATCACCGAGTTATTCTGATCGTTGCTTAATTTGGTTTCTGGCCGAAGACCTTTAGTCTCTAGAATCTGACAAACCGATCCCATCGATAAATCATCTGAGGGAAGTTTGCTTTTGATCATCTGTTATCCGCCACATAGATAAATAAATAACAATAAGAAACAGAGGGCAATAACTGTAGGCTGAACCGAGATGAGAGCGCAGAGCAGGTGATTTGTCATAAGACTCAGCTTGTGACCTTTCGACAAAGGAAACTACTTTTTTATCCATCCATGGAAAAGCTGTTGGTTGTAAAGGTCTGATGAAGCAATGCTGTTTTCTCCTCCATTAAAAAGATCTAAAAACTAATATTTACCGCCTCTTCCGACTCTTGGCAAAATGAAAAAAAAACAACAGAAAAATACAGAAATAGAGAGCGGGGGAGGGATGGAGCAGAAACAGTTATGGAGCAGTAAAGGTTTTATAGATCATTAAAAAAAGGAGGAAGAAAGGGAAAGAAAACTGATTTAAACTAATAGGTGTCGTCTTATTTTCTGTCAGTGCTGATCTACAGTATTTACACCGTTACCTGTGCGGTGAGGTGATAGGACACAGATGATTTAAATGTAAGCTACACTGAACAAAAATATAAATGCAACACTTTGGTTTTTGCTCCCATTTTTCATGAGATGAACTCAAAGATCTAAAACATTTTCTACATACACAAAATAACCATTTCTCTCAAATATTGTTCACAAATCTGAAAAAATCTGTGATAGTGAGCACTTCTCCTTTGCCGAGATAATCCATCCTACCTCACAGGTGTGGCATATCAAGATGCTGATTAGACAGCATGATTATTGCACAGGTGTGCCTTAGGCTGGCCACAATAAAAGGCCACTCTGAAACATGCATTTTTGCTTTATTGGGGGGGTCTGGGGGGGTCCGAAAACCAGTCAGTATCTGGTGTGAGGTTTAGGATTAGGGTTAGGGTTAGGGTAATGTTGTGAATCGAGTGGCCCATGGTGGTGGTGGGGTTATGGTATGGGCAGGCGTATGTTATGGACGATGAACACAGGCCATTCGATTGTACCGATACTGTTGGGATGCATCATTGAACTGTTGATTTAGATATCTGTTTTGGTTCGGAGGAGGTTTGATATGGCAGGGTGGCTTTTTGTTGTTGTAGATTAATAGTTATGCATTTTGTATCTTTTTGTATTTTGTGCCTTGCCTTGCCTTGCCTTTGTGAGTTGACAATAAAAAGTAGAGAAAAACATGCGGTTGTTTGCCAATAAATAGTTGCATGTTAGCAAGCTGACATTAGCATTCAGTCACTAATAACAGAGCGGCAACAGAAACCCTAAGTGAACCCTACAGGGACTAAAGCCATCGTTAGAGGTGCATGGGAAATGCAAAGAGATGTGCCTTTGCTTTGCAGCAAACATTTGTTATAATTGATGGTTTTTGTTCGTACATATTTTTTTGTGGCCGGATTCGAACGTTGCACTGGCTCTTGCCTTAAATGTCAAATCATGTTATTTAAATGTTTCGCCAAAACATCATCATCATTATATAAAATCGGAAGAACCTGTCGATAAAAAAAATGAACTGTGTTTAGTTTATCCTCGATTAGACTCCTCTGATTCGTGTGTTTTTTATTTCCGTCTTCAATCCTTGTTAATGTTTTTGTGAAAGTCAGTCTGAACTAGGGCTTCTCAATTAATCGTATTTTAAATCGCAATTACGATTATGGCTTGCAACGATTACGCAAACAACGTAATCGAAATAAAACGATTTTCTTTTTTTCAAATTAATTATTTTTTAAATTGTTTTTTCTGTTGAATTATACTTAAAGTTCAGGGTAATCAACTGTTAAAAACATACTGTTCAAAAAACAATTCTCCAATAAATGTATGTTTTCAAAGTAAATGGATAATCGTTTTTAATAATCATGATATCAATTATTGACCCAAATAATCGAGATTATGATTTTTGCAATAATCGAACAGCCCCAGTCTGAACATGCATGTGCAGGTCCATGTTTACCTTGCTTCCCCTGGTCACCTTGATATAAGCATTGATCCGGTGCATGTTGCTCTCTAAATGTCTGCCAGAGAGAGCTCAAGCTCGAGAGGATTCGTCAGACAGCGCTAAACTCTCACACACTTTACAGGATCGCACCTCTGAGTCTGTGAGTGGGGATATTTGGATTGGGCCTTAGACTTTTAACATGTCTGCTTGTGTTTTCATTAAGAAAAAAAGACAATGTGAATAAGTGAGGTGCAGGTAGGCTAACCAGGCGAGCCGCTTCCCCTTGATGCTTATCTTAATGCTAAGTTCACTGCTCTCGGCCCAAGCCCCTCACCACACAGAGTTAGGAAGTAGTGAATTCTCCCAAAAAAGTCTAACTGTTCCTTTAAAGTGGGATGAGAGTCATGGTAGGATGTGCTACAGACAAGCCTGAGGTGAATGTTGAGTTACTTTGGTCTCAGAGTCTGCAACATCCAGCAGGTGGCAGTGACGCAGAGTTCTTGCTGCATATTGCAAGTCAAAAACGAACGCCTTTTAAAGGATTAGGCTTCCCCTCCTTCCATCACAACACCTCATTACAACCCACAGTTATTCCGCCCAAAGGAAAAATTCCTGATTTGAAACAACACACAGAGCGGTGTGAGGGAGGGGCGTGATGAGTCAAACAATGTGTAGTTGTGTAAAATAAAATCTACAAGCTCGCAACACCTCTTTTCTGAGTCATTCACGTTTCCTACATGCACTTAATGCCTCTTGACTCCAAGTCCCTCTGGGCTTTGCTTCATTAATGAATGCAAATGGAAAGGCTTACTTCGGAGGTAGTGTATGAATAATGGAAGTGCTCTAGTAATGCTATGCAGCTATTGGAATTAAACACAATCGTGGGAGGGAGGGGTGTAAAGGGTCAAGGGTGGGTTCGAGAGACTCACCTTCACGTTGATCCTGATGGGGAGCGGGATGCCCTCCTTCATCTCCTTGGTTCTCTCGTTGAACTCCTTGCAGAATTGCCCAATGGGGATTCCTCTCTGCACGGGAGAAATAAACAAAGAAAGAAATGATGGAGGATCGCTTTCAAATGTATGAGAAGCCTGAGCATGGAAACCTTCAGCTGAACGTCACTCATGTCACACTGTGCTGCAGGAATACAGATGCCTGTGCTGCTGTCAGTCACTCCATCACCACACTTCACAGGGGTCTGACTATTTGCACACACGAGCGGTTCAGCGACCGCCGTGTGACAGTATGTATTTATATATGTGTGTGCAGAGAGTGTGTGGGTGTTTATGTGTTTGGGGGAGACATTTTCACACTTATATTCACTCTGGGATGCATCTCTCTCTCTCTCTCTCTCTGTGTGTGTTTGTGTGCAGCCTCTCTGTTGTTCCACACTGTGTATGTGTCTGTCACTCGAGCGATGACTGAATGCATGTTGGTGCCCAGAGCCAAAGAAATGCGAGTGATGAATGAGCCTCACATTTTCCTGCGCGGGCAAGGCCAACCGGAGCGAAAGCAAAATAGATGGGTGACATTAAGTCAACACTCGGCCAACACGGCTCCTTTGCACCATTCCTCTTTGGAGCTGAATTCAGAGGCAAAGACTAATAAATAATCTAATTATAACTGCAGGAATTTATACTGACCTTCAGCCGCCATCCTCCCCAAAGGCAACCCACTGATTGAAATGTTCATTTCAGAAATGAGAGGAAGGTATTTTATTCAGTTTAATGGACTTGCAAGCTTCTATTACTCCGTGACAAAGCAGAGCACATTTCTCAAATTCTCATAATGGATCTGATGAAAAGTCAGCCATCCTGAGACACTCTGCGATGACAGCAGGCGGAAGACATTTATTTGAACTTAACAGAGCGGAAAGTTCTCTGAACATCATCTCCACTAAAGGCCTCAAAAAGCACCTGGTGAATGCTAATCCTACACGACTCCGTTTGGGTCTGAAACACCGCTCATCAATCAGCGGCGTCTCGATGCCTCTGCTAGCACAATAAACAGATTGAAATGTAAACACATCACACGAGTCGAGGCAGGCTATTGTTTCAGAGCTGATGGGTGCTATTTGAATTACAATATGCTGCTAATGAAATGAAATGCAGCGGTGTCCCCAGGGACCTCACTAGGCGCTACCTCCAGCCCCCTTGCGTATTATTAGTAATCCCATGTCAACGCACAACCTTCTAACAGTGCCCTTCCCTACCTGCGCCTCCCATAAAACAACACAGCAAGGGTAAACAAACTGGGAGGGAGAACTGAAGGAAAGTCTAATTAAATATGGATTAGAATAAAAAGGGCGATGTTGCATACGAGTCAAATCAGACCCTCAGGCCTTTCCTCACACATTCAGCTCTCACTCCTTCCCCTCTTGTCGGATAATGATCTCTCCCAACGACTCGGATGGCCCTTTCATGCCACACAATACCATGACAGAGTCTCCCTGACCAGCCGGAGATAATGCCTGATGCTTCTGAAATGTGCTTAAGCACGAACACATTATGCAGGCAGAGGAGCGGCTGTTCTAAAGATAGACCGAGGCAAAGACTTCACACGGCCTCCCTGACCAGAAAGTCCTCCACTGCTATGAAAAGAAAATGTTAGAGCAAATATTTAAAAGAAAGCTAAAGAGTGGCAAATAAGAGGATGTAACACGACCCTCTGGGGGATAACACACAGTTTGCCCTGAGCTACGCATACAATGCAGTATCCACCAGAGACAGGTGATTACTTTTTAATTAAGCTGTTCCACACGAGTCCGAGCATCTCATCGTGTGAAGATAGCAGGCTGAGGAAGTCTCATTTTGGCCCCGGGCTATTTGATAGTAAAACTGCGGTAATGACTTTGATTGAAGCATGCTGGCTTTAGCAAGCACAGCTTAAGTGCGGCAGGGGGATGGATTCCAACGAAAGCAAGGTCCAACTTCGCATGACATTTATCAGAGAGACAGAACAGCAGCCGTTATGCCCCGGGCCAAATCTCTAACCCCGCTCACTGCATCCGAGCATCTAATCATCCTGGAGTCCGAGCGGCTGGATAAATCCCCTGTCTACCGCCATGACTGATTCAATCCCAGGCGCTCTCCAGTACAAAATGGCTGCAGCCCATCACACGAGGCCTTCCACGCCAGTTGTTGGCGAGGACATTCAGCCGCACATCTTCAAAGACTTCTGATATCCTTGGAAACGGGATTAAACGCTAATCTACCAAGATTTTTCCCGCCGTCACATCCAGCTACGGCAGGGGTCCCTAATTGCTAAATGATTCATTCAAGATCAGCGCGGCAGAGTCTTATTACTCGTAATTATGAGAGCAATTAGGAGTTTGCAATTAAAAATCTTGGAAGTGTCCGTTTGAATTGACCCTTCCACCATATCCTCTGCAGTCTTCTTTGACACTCCTTCCGTGTTAATGTGATTGGCCTTTCAGCTTCACTAACTCTTTTTAACAAGATGTAGCACTGGCGTGGCAGGATGGCGTGTGTGTGTGGGGGGAGGAGAGAAACAGGGCTGAGAAAAGAGAGACAGCTGTGGTATATTAAAGATGTCAGAATGTGGCCAGCAGTCGTCGTGCTCGATATTTGAACAATGAGAAGAGGTTTGTTTAACTGAGGTGAAGAGCAGGAGAAGAGAGGCGCAAAGTGAGAGGCTGCAAGAGGTCCTCGTGAATATGGGTGAGTGAGCTTTGTATGTTTATGTATGAACACTTCGGCCTCATTTCGGTCTGACAGGACTATCCGTTGAAGAGTGGATACGTGTGCATATTAAGCTGCCAGGGACTGCTGACGGGGAGGAAGTGTTTGCTGTGTGTGGTCACAGGTGTCTCTGCCTCTGAGAAAACACAAGAGGGAAAATGGAGAGGAAGAGAAAGTGAAGGAGGAGATGAGAAAGAGAGGGTGAGGAGGTCAAGAGGAGTATTGTGCTTATGGAAGCGTGGCAAACATGGAGATAAAAAGGACCCAGACTCGAGATAAAGCCTTGGGGCAAGACGGAGGATTAACTGCCCAAGGCACACAAGGCCACCTGATAAATTGCCGCGGGCCATCGACACAGCGGAGGGTCTGGGATACGGTGACGGAGGTGTTGCTGTGGAGAGAAGCTGGTGGGAGGTTAATTAAACTCTTCAGTGTGAAACACTCCCATTCATTACCTTGTTCATTTAATCTGCTTCGCTGTTGGCATTTTATCACATTCTGCCCCATTGTGCGTTATACAGCTGATTAGATTTCATGTTGAAAACCCTCAGCGGCAGAGGGGCAAACTGAGAGGCTGAGCCGCTCAGATTAGGTCTAACAGACACCAATGCACACAGCAAAACTAAATAAATTGAGTTCATGCTGGACATGCATTTTACCTGATTTTCTGCCCTGGAATCAATGGATTAGTCTTAAAAGTGGAAAATGGAAACGATGTTCACCCACAGTCTCCAGTGAACTGTGCTGAGGACAATATACCACCCTGTGAATAAGAGCCGAGGATCGTGCTCACACAAGCATGAGTGGAGATCTGACCGAGCGTTCACATTCAGGGACTCTTCTTTATAAGCACCGATACAAGCCAAACACTTCAGCAGTGCTTACTGATCTCTGCTTAATAAAAAGGAAGCCTTCACTTTTTCCACCTGGCACAGGGAGAGGAGTTTTCCGTTTGAGGGCATGGTGAACGCAAGCAAGCGGGCGAAGGGTGGAACAAAATGGATAGCATCACGACAAAACATCACATTTTCAACTCCATTAGGTCCCTCTCACAGTCCTGACAGTGTTGTGCTTTTTGCCACTTCAGATGATTAATCACGTGTGGAGGCTGCAGCAGAAACACCGGAGCCTGAACTGCAGGCAGCTGAGGCTCCACGCTGGAGATGTCTGCAAAAAGATCACAAGACAAGCTGATAGTGGAGGGGAGGCAGACAAAGGAAGAGAGGCAGGGGTTGGAATAAAGTCAGGCTGCAACAACAACAGCGAGCGACGGTTTGACAAAGCCCGTGTGTGTTTATGGAGTGCCGAGGGATAATAGTGCATTTTGCACAATAAAAGGTTTAATTCAAAGGGGAGCTCCACTGATCCTCCACATCAAAGTCTGTTTCCAGGTCTCAGGGAGGACTACAGCATAAGTGAACAAAGTTGTGTAAAGCCTTTTGTGGCTCCAGAGGGAGCTCCACGAAATCCGATAAATTACCTCTAGTAGGGCTGTCACAATATTCTGACGATTGTTGCGGCAAAAGATTATTCAGAATACTAATATTTTGGAAATAACTAGAAAAGCAGCAAAAATAATTTCAGAAATATTCCTCTTTAAAATGTTTTTACTGTGCGTTTTGTCTCTAGGCAAATGCATTGCACTCAAAATACGAGTGTATGCAGTTTGAGAGAGTCTGTATCTTACGATCTGTTTACATTTCACCCATTTATTATTACAAAATACAGTAATTTACTTTATTCCACCCGTACAGTATTACATTTCAGTGTTTCCCACAGAATTTGATTCCATTTGTGGGGGCACCGGCAAGAAAAGCCAAAGGCCCCTTAACCTATTTGGGTGGCCCACGCATCCACCCCCCCCCCTCAAATAAGAAAATACATGCAAGTTCATGGCTACTGTAGACAACGTTCTTGTTGCTCTGTGTTGCGTCCGGAGTTGAGGATCTGTGGGGTTTATTCTCCCAAAAATATAATTTACAATTTAGGCATTTAGCAGACGCCTTATTCCAAAGCAACTTACTGGTGTTCCAGGCAGGATTTGAACTCGCAACCCTTCCAATCATCAGCCCACCTCACTATCCATTAGACCAGGGGTCCCCAACCCCCGGTCCGCGGACCGGTACCGGGCCCGCGGAGGTGTTACTGCCGGGCCGCGAAATAGCTGTGAGTTTATCCTAATATTTGTAGAATTATAAATATATAAAAATATTTTATCAAAAAAAATTCAAAGATTGTTTTTATTTTATTTTTATTTTATTTTATTTTATACCAGTCATATTATTTCATCCAAAACATACAAAATAAATCAAAATTGGTTAGCATAAGGTCTCAGCCTCTCGTGCGCAGAGAAAGTTACAGTTGGTGCGCCAATAGGAAGTGGAGCAGACAGGAGACAGCCGTTTAATCGCAGACTGTTATGTTTGTGGGGGAATGGCAGTGCATACATTATATTTCGAACTCGGACTTCATTTTAAGGACATTGCGGCCAGGGGTGTAGAGCTATTTTTTTTATTTGTAAAGCCTCCTTCACTTCATGAAATGGCTGCAGCATCAGGAGGCAACCTCTGAGAAGTGCAGCACCAGCGCGTACACACCGCCTTCACTGTGTTCCCCACTGCAACCACACACACCTCTACACACACACACATCGAACGGCCCGATTATTCCCCCTATTACTCGTTGTATGAAGGAAATGTCCGGTCACAAAGGCTCCGCTGTGTATGTTCGGTGTGTTTGTGTGTGTCCAACAACGGCATTTGTTTTCAAATGACCATGAACAGTAATTTACACACATCTGGCCAACTCCATAGGTATGTGGGTGTTCCCAAAAGAAGTTAGTTTAATCTTAATCTCGATGTAGTGCTAAATGCTGTCGGAGTGCACCGGAACAAGCGCCCCGGTATGACGTTATTATTGCTTGCAAACAAGCCCAGGGATCTCCCTGACATTTCAGTTATATCAATATGTGTACAGTGGTCCTAATTTGTTTGAATTGTATCCTGGTTTTAAACTGTGTTAATATGTTTTGGATGCATATTGGTATTTCTTCAGGCTGTTAAATACAATTAGCCTCTGTTGCCACCTGCTGGTGAGTAAATATTCAAATCAGTTAAAATTGACAACCGGTCCGCACATTTTTTGTAATGTATCTGCCGGTCCTTGGCACAATAAAGGTTGGGAACCCCTGCATTAGACCACCAAAAATAAAAATGTAAAACATTTTTTTTTTTTTATGAGATCCATTTGTGGCGGACGAATAAATAAAAAATAAATCAATGTATGGGAAACACTGCATTTTAAATTCAGTTGTTTTACCGCATTTAACTTGCACCATCCCTTGCATTACTTCTATCTCTTCTTGCACTATATTTTAAATGTATTTATGTCTTAACTATTGTGTGTTGCAGTGGAGGAGCCTCAGACTCTCGATTGTCAATTCTAAACCCACACTGCTGCTACTGTGCATAATATAACAATACATTCCTTTGAACCTTTGATATCATATCAGAAACAAAAGCGTGTATTTATTACATGCTGAATAATTTACACAATATTATCTTATGTGTATTATTCATATGACATGAATACTGTTTATTGTTAATACCGTCAAGACACCCCTACCGAGATCACAGGCAACAACTGTCGGGGGTCAAGTTGCATCGTGGGTATTATAGCTGCCAGATTTTGGACAAGGAAGAAAAATGCTTGTAATAAAAAAAGGACAACATCTCCAATCCTCCTGCAGCTTTTACTGTCCATCATGAGTGGGCCATGCTATATGGGAGCTCTTCACTCATGTCTTACACTCCGAGAGGACACATGTAGAAAAAGCCAAAAGGCACAAGGTGACGGGAAGATTTTTCTGTGTTTGTGGAGGTCAGCCTCGGTCCTGATGTGGAGCATGACTCAGTGCTGATGCCTTTAGCATTCTTGGACAGTCTCTAAGCCCCATGTGTCCTTCCAAACTTCCCCAATCATGTCTGAAGCAAAAAGTGATGAGTGCACAGTCCTGTGGACAGCCGGCCCGCCTGGCTGCCCCTCGCCCTCCTCTGCTATTCCACCGCTCTCTCCCCTCTCTGAAAGTAAGCCAGTTTGTAGAATGACCTTCAACCACACCCACGGGGAGGAAAAACAAAAAACAAAAAAAAGGAAAGAGGGGGTGGGTGGTGTATAGTAGCAGGATGGAGGAGAGATTGGTGTAAACATGAGGAGAGGGTGCAGCGAAAAGGAAAGATGGGTTGAAGGACAAAAAAAATGCTTGCTTAAGTGAGGAAAATGGAAAAATATCTCTTCTCTTGGAAGCCAGTGGAGCGCAGAGCTGAATCTGACAAGAAAGATGACTCTCCATCCCCTTTCACCAGTCTGATTAAACCTCACACTCTAAAATGAATCGGGCACACTGAAGGAGGGAGCGGAGGTCTTGAACCTTTGCTAAAGTGCACAATGGAATACCTTCAGATGCACCTGAAAGAACAAGACCTTAAAGAAGTGGTGCTGCTATATGACATTTTCTTAAAAAACACATCCACGGCAGACAAAGAAACCAAAATTAAATGTTTTAATGAGGAAAGCTCTTTCTATAAAAACAGTTTCCATAAGATTAATTTTAGACTGGATCTGTTGCATACATTCCAAATCCTTCTGTTTCAGTGTGCAGTAAGCCTGGCATAGTGAGTTAATCTACAACAGAGGAATGATTTCCTTGTGTGACTAAGACTGTAAGTAGACAGAAGGAGGACTAATTAAAGTTGTAACATCGGAGCTCTGAGTGTGTCTATAGGCTAAAAGCGGCTTTCGCTCCTCCGCTCTTTTTTCCAGAAAGGGGTAAATAAGGTGTGTTGCCTGCACTCTAAACAATGCAACTATTCTTCTGCAAGTACACAATCACCATGATTACCATAACCAATGAGCAGGCTATACTGTAACTGGGTGCTCTCAAATATTCATAGCATCTTCCAGCTTAACTTCCCCAGCTGCTCCTGGAGGAGAGGAGGAGAAACTGAGGAGGGTGGGAGGTCTGGAGTGGAGCACGTAGCCTGCTTACAAATTAACACCACAACCGAAGTCGGACAGCGTGAGTGAGTTTCTCGCCGTCCTCCTCTCGCTGTTGCACCGCCTCGCAAAGCCATCTTCTCGGTCTGCGGTCTCCACTTTAATGATCCAACGGTGCCCCTGAATGCCGCTGCCCCACTTCTGAGCGACTTCCCCCGGCTGCTGCGCACAGCCGGAGCCCGACGGAGCCGCAGCAGCCGGAGACCGGAGAGACACACCGACACTGCGGGAGGTGACAGATCCGGAGCGGAGCCTTTGCAACAAACCACGCAGACATCGGCCATGCCAGATCTGCACGGAGGGGGAAATCTCGATAAGTATGAGCCGGGTTTTTTTTTTTTGTTCCTGCAAACTCGGGTGTGCTTGGCGTGGCTGTGGCGATGACTTCCTCCTCTAACAAGCCTCGAGATGAGCCTTCTCCTGGAGTCTAAACAAACACCCGGACTGTAAGAAGAGGACTTTATCACCGACAGATCATCAGCGACAATAAAATAGACTTTATTAGTCACATACTGCGCTTCTACTTGGGAGGAAAACGCCGTAAATCAAGCCAGGAGGATCCAAGCTCAAGTGGAAGACGAATGGTTTCGGTAACTATAGATTCACTTTATTATCAGCCATGCACGGATAAGCACCTGCTTTTAATAGGGCAGTTATGAAACAGGTGTTGCAGAGAAGCGGTTTCACATTGATCGCTACATTTCCGGAGGATACAAGGCGTCGAACTGCATGCTGGGGCAGCTATTGATAATCATATTTTTCAAGAAAGAAAAAAAAACCAAGCGTGATAACTCTGTAAAAAAAAAGAAATAACACAAAGCCCCTCGGGCAGCACTTGGGCTGCTACCTCACAAATCAACAGATGTTTCAGTCATGTGGCTCTAAGTCTGGAGAGGGGATTTATTCAGCAGGGCATTATCAGGAATTGCACACTGCCTGGCTTTCTATTAATTAATTAGTTTGCACACAATGGCATAGATGTTGTCCCGATGCCCTTGGTGCTCCACCTGTGATAACTGGGGGAGGATTTGCTCTTTGATGTGATTTGGAGCTCTTTCAGGGCTGTTTGTGGAGATAAACTGTGGGTGTACACAAATTAATCTTTGCTCTACAGATTTCTGTCCACACGGAAATCACCCAATATAAAAACAAGTGGCAACCCCACCCCCTGCTTTATCTCTGTCAGTGTGTGATGCAGGGAACTTGGGAGCTTTATTTTTGGCAGATAAGGCAGACACATGGTGCAGATGGAGAGAGAGCCATGTGCAGCTGTGGCACACAAGCTTAGAGACCACAAGTGAAAGCAAATTGGGGGGAAATGGATTTGCAGTACAAATCAGAACACATAAAAAATGAAAACACCTTTCACCTGCACACCATTACATGCCATTACTCATGCTTACAGCCAAATGGGTTGCCTCATCTTGTCAACAGCAGTGGCATTTTCCAGACAGGGATATGATGAATTTGGTCATTATTGATGAGCGTGGACACACGGGCTGTCATCCCGGTCCCTCAGTCAGAGTGGAATAAATTACCCAGTGTTGACAGGGAGTCAAAACACAAACAAGGGGCTGACAGGGAGATTTTCTCCGGGGCGAAATGTAAGGCTCAGGTGGAGTATCTTGAGAGAAATGACCTCGAGTAATAGCCAGCTGCCACAGAGGGTGTAAACTTCTCCAACCCCCCCGCCCAAGCTGCAGATTCACAAAAAATAAAAGACACATTTAAAATCTAATATCCTCTCGATCTGCTTGGGGAAAATCACTCCATTTTGGGGGGAAATGATAATCGAGTTGCAGTAAGCGGTGGGACAAAAGGATGGAGACAACCAGATAATACGAATGTTGGCAGGATCCACGCCTGTCCTCCCACAATGCCTCGCATGCAGCAGATTAATCAGCCGAGATCGTTTCTTTCCTCATCGCTTTGATTCATTTGTTTCAGGACGAACTTTAATGTCTGTGACATTTCAATAGCCTTGGTGATGAATACATTTGGATTCATCCATGCCACGCTGGTGCATGAACTGCGTGTCTTCACGTAAGTGGGTGGAAGTCACTTTCTATCTGCATTTGAATATTTTCCTCTTCATCACTTTCACCCCTTCTCACCCTGAGCTTATTTATGAACTATTACCATCACGCCGTAACGCTTTATTAGGCATGTAGACAGCCAAGAGGCCTATTAATCTTTCACTCGCAGTTGTATGCTCCTTCTCCATCCCCCCACACCGAATAGACAATCTCAAACCCTCTCTTTCCCCAGAGGAGTTCCTCTTCTTCAATGATTCAGACAGCGGCAAGGATATGGCAGAGCTCCTGTTAGTCTTACGGAGAGGGAAGTGATGTGTCTTCCATCGGCAACATATCAATACACACTTTTCACTGGCAGACTTTTCTCAGAGGTCGCAATCGTGCTGACAATCTCTCGCTCGATCACCCCGAACTGTTGCCATTACGACACATCTGAGTTGATAGTGATTTTATATTATAATGCCATCGATCCAGTTGAGAGGTTGACACCCCCGAGTGGCGCTGAGCACATAACAGACATTCCACTGGTCGGTGCTGTGATTTTCAGCTGAACAGGATAAAGACAGCTCGGTTCGATTACGCTGTAAAGTCAATGCTCATTTTTCACGCTTTGTCAATACTGAGGTTTGTACTGAACGCGGCTGATGTATAAGCTGCAACAAAAAAAAGAAATCCAAATTAGCATTGCCAGCATGCTTTCACCCAACTGTACACAGTGTGTGCACAAAGACATGAGTCGAACGCCTCCCAAACAAATAGCAAGTTATCAATATTCATCTGAGATGAGAGGGGAATTTGCGATTATTAAAGACTGCAGAACAGTATGTGAATAAACATGGCAGACCAAAGAGGAAAAGAAAAGGCTTTGACAGAGCACCGAGCTGCGCCTCAATGAAATGGATTAATAATGAATAAGACGAGTACAAAAAAAAAGCACAAAATAACAACAATACACAGAAAAGTCACGGCTGAGGACTAGGAAGGAATAATGTGAGGAGTTTTATGGAAAATAAAGACTATTTAATTCACTGAGCCGCAGAGTTTCAAAAAAGCACAATTTAGCTTCTCAGCTTGAGCAGCCAGGATAGATGTAGCTTTGGACAAAGATGAAGGGAGCTCAATGCTTACTGGGCAGCCAATATCTTTAACCATAGCAACAGGCATCAAACTATTTTACAATGACTTTTCCTGCAGATTTGTTGTTTTTTCTGAGCACAGATGGCGGTGTGTGGAGCAATGTGAGCAGAGTTTGAATTGTGCCCATGTTTCAAATTTACCGATCATACATCTGTATCTCTCTTTCAGGCATGGTGCCCACGCCCCAGGTGTGCGTATCAACCCTGGTCACAGTGAGCACGATGGCAGTGGTGGACCTCTACCTGCTGGAGCAGAGCATGCTGGGAGCTCGTGGTCCTCCAGGGCCGAGTGTGTGGCAGTGTGCCGTGGTGTTGCTAGGCGATCTGGGCTTCCTGCTCGCGCTGCGCTTCGTGTCGGCCGGCGTGATGTCGGAGGCGAGGTCGCCACGCCGCGGCTTTGCCAACGCGCTCTGGTTCCTCTTCCTGTCGCTGCTGCAGCTCAAACTCTTCTTCGTCTGCCATAACTACAGGCAGGAGCGCCGCCCCCCCGACCCGCTGGCCAGGAAGACGCTGACGCTGCTGCTGTCCATCTGCCTGCCCTCGCTGTTCCTCATCCTGACGGGGGCCGACCACATGACCCCGCAGCGCAGGAAGCAGGAGGTGCGGAGCCGGCTCCTGTGGGTGGTGGTGGATCTGCTGGATGTGCTGGACCTGCAGGCCGGGCTGTGGGAGGCCCAAGGGGGGGTGGTAGGGTCGGGGGGGGTCGTCGAGCAGAAGCTGCCCATCTGGGCCGAGGGCCTGGTCTTCTTCTACTGCTACGCCCTCCTGCTGCTGCTGCCTTGTGTGGCCCTCACCGAGCTGGGGGCCACGGGCCTGCCGGGACAGAGGGGGCCCCGTAAGGAGGCTCTGTACCCGTGGCTCAGCTTGGTCACCATCAACATCTTCACCCTGGCCCTGAGGGGCACCGGCATGCTGTGGTACCGGGACCCCCGCGTGTCCACCGTGTTCCTGGGGAAGAACCTGCTGGCTCTGGCTGTGAAGCTGAGCTCCGCCTGGGAGAAACACAAGCAGGAGCGCGGAGCTGCCGGGGCGGGGGCCGTGGCCGGAGCAGAACCAGGAGACCCCACCCTGCCGAGCCAGGGCTCAGAGCAGGGAGAGGACCCGGCTCAGGGGAAAGCCCCCCCTTCTCATTTTCACACACTGTCTCGCTCCCAAAGCCACAATCTCTCTCATGCCAGCCTGGAGCCCGCAGAGACGCCCTTAGTACCCTCTTTCATCTCCCATGAACTCTAGAGAGGATCTGAACATACACGCATGCACACAAAATGTGATCACACTCGGACCAGCAGGGCGAGTATCACAACCAAACAGATACATCGTTTTGAGTTTCAGTGCAACATTGATGGGTGTAATGCCGAGCTGTGGAAATGCATTTGACAAGCTTGGATTTCTGCACATTTTGTTGTGCTAATAATAACTCAAAATGCATTGCTGGGATTTGTGAGAGTGTGTTTTTTTAATTGAACACTGTGAACACATTTCAGCCTGTAAAGAATATTCCAGAAATATTTGTTGAAGTCTGCTTCTTCCCTTCTTTAATCATGGCACAGCTGCCCAAACTGACACAAATGTGTTGAATGTGTTGCGCTCCATATACAGTTTCTCATCTGTGATCTACTCTACGAGTTGAAATCATGTTGCTTGTCAGAAAAATGTGATCTTTCTTCCATTAGATGCCAGAATAGAGACCGTGACCTTTAGTCTACATTTCTCTCTCTGCCCCTTTGCAGAGACCTTTCTCAGAGAAATACAGACGAGTGATGATTTACTCTTCCTTTAGCACCAGAGCCAGGATTCAAAGCCCATCTGCATGTAAAACTCACTTTACACGTTGCTACAGTATTTCAATGTCGAGTCAAATCCAGAGGAGGCAAACCTTTTTGGCTTGTTGCCTCATGAATCATGGTCTATTCACAGGGGATGTTTCCTTCTTGCATTTTTCCTATGTGGATATATTTTAAAGACCTGAAGGGGTGAAGTTTTAAACATTCTCACAACAAAAAAGCAAAAAGTAAGAGAGCAAAATAAAATATGAACACAGATGTTTTCTCCTCATATGTCTTTAATACACTCATGACCACTCAGATGTAACAATGAGGAGGGTCCCGACACAATTGGTTGGCAACAGAGGTGTCACTGTGCCACAGCTTCGTTCAGACAAAAAGGAAACACCGGCTGGTCACTTTTTATTTTCTGACCAGGCTGACAGTGTCATCCTGCAGACTCTGTGGTTGACCATGACCGACAAACTGGTACAATGACATCTTTGTAATATTTAAAATGTAGAATTTTAACTTTAGCGAATGATTTTCTAGATACATGCTGTACCTATTTTCTGTTAATGCTAATACTCTCCTGCGGCAATTCTAACAGAACACAATGTGCATAACTCAAAATGCCAAATGTTTATAAAAGACAGTTTCCATAAATAAAACCTTCCAATCGTAGGGCTTAAAGATGGAAATTGTGCGTCATCTTAATCCTACTCCAACACAAACTACGGTCTATTTTACAACAGTGTTTACAGAGACAGAATTCCAATGTAAGTAATCCCTTTACTGTTTCAGATCACATTTAAAATGTATGTTTTGCTGTCGTCTGTACTTGTTTCAAAGTCTCCTTCAGTCATTTAAAAAAGAAAGAAAAAGCTGCCTGTCCCAAGCATAAATCCCTTTTTTTCCACTTTAGATTAACTTGCATTTTAATTATGGATGGAGCGCTTCATTCTCTAATGTGTTTTCACGTGGGTGTTGTAGAACATAGGCATCATGGGATTAAGGGTCAGAGCAGCAGGTGTTGCCGATGTACCGTTCAGTCAAGTGCCTTGTTTCCTCATGGAGCTGCAGCCTCTGAGTCCAGCAGGCGTACGCACGCATTATGTGAACCATGTGGGACTTGGACATATGCCATGTGTACACTGTGAAGTTATTCCACAGCTGTCCGTCGGTTACACCTCCAGGACAGAGTGTAAACTAATAAAGTGTTTCATACTCGCCTAGTGTTGACAGTTCATTGGCCATCATGTAGCAGCCTTATTGGCAGTCTGTCACCCACATAGGGTCCACATTATTCATAGCCAGCAGGCCCTAGGGACAAATAACTGCTTCAAATGTTCAAAAAATGCCACTATATTAAAGTCAATGGGCCTATGCAGTCACAGAAAATTGCATGTTTTTTTCTTATGCTGGAAGGGGAGCATTCAAGCCAGAAAAGCAGGCTCTTTGCTTCTCAGTGTGGCACGCTAACAAAAGACCGTCATTTATCACAATTATGCCGGCGGCCCCATCAGTTAGGATCTTCTCGCAGTAATCCTTGAGTGTGCTGTCGTGTTGTCTGCCTTTAATGTTGAAAGAGAGACGGGGTGTGCCTGTCAAGAGTTGTAGTAAGTGTGTGATGTTTTCAGAGTGCTCACAGCAGCACCCGCTGCCCTTTCCTCTTGGCTTTAATGATCCTATTAATTGAAATTGAGGCTATTTATCAAACGCAAGTGCTATTCGCAGTGCTTTATGCATGATTTACAGGATATATTTAAAGTATGTATTAAGACTAATGTACACACAAATAAATTCATTTCAGCGGGGGGATTTCTCTGCGGTTCATAGACTTTTAAGGAAAAACCACAGAGGGATATCCAGAGTAGTAGACAGCATCCAGCTCCAGCCTCCCCTCTTTCTTTCATCTCCGCCTCCCTCGCTCTCTCTACATTTCAAACAGCTCTGGATGCACTCCCTGTTGGGCAACTACTCATATTTCTATTAAACTAAAAGCAGCGAGGCCGGCGACGGCAAATGACTACCTCCTTGAATTTGTTACACCTGTTAAGTTTGGGATACAACGCTCAGAATTTTCCCTCAGCTCCCACCAACTCTCATGACCCGCTGCAGAAGAAGAGCTCTAGCCGCTCCGCTGTTTTCTTTCTTCTTTTGCAGCTCCCTATTCTCTCATCCATTCGTCTGTGCTAATTTCACTCCAGCATGTAATTATTCCCCTGTCAGTTTCCCTCTCTTGTCTTCCGTTCCTTCTTTTATTTCTCTCGTTTGTTTAAATGTGCCCCACAGCCGACAGACAGCCTACCTCTCTGCACTTCTCCTGTCAAGGGTGGTTAGTCAGAGAAGAAGAAGTAAAAAAAAAAAGCAGGGCGCAGAGGCTGGCTAAGATTAAAGGGCCGGAGCCACTGCCTACAGCAGAGTGGCTGCCGACTGCCATTTATTTACCGTTACACACAGCGAGAGTTTGATGGCGCACTGGAGCCCAGAGAGACTCACACAACATGCTGCCTTAACAACAATGACATCCCAAGCAGTTCAAAAGGAGACAACTTTAGACAAACATATGGCTTTCTTTTGCTCCGTCGAGCACTTGGTTACAACCCATCCCACCTCATTACCCCCGACACAGCGGCAGCTACAGCCTACGAGCTCACACTCACTTGCTCAGGCAGAAAGAGCCACATTTAACAGACAGACGTCTAAATCATTCATCAGAGCACACGCTTTTGGGCAGAACTTCAAAGTTTATTACCCGAGAATGAAATGATGCAAACGATAACGGCGGCTCTTACGATATGCAGTGTAATACTGGAGACAGAGGCTAATAAAGTCTCAGGCGTTGGGGTGACCTCAGGGTGAAACAGGGGATAAGTGAGTTGATCTGACGATCCAATACACGTTATGAAGAACTAGGGATGACAGATTAGAGTTAGGGTGTATCTGGTTGACAGATGATTTAAAAACAGACTAATTGGATTATGGTTTAATTGTTAAAGTCAAATCCAAGCTCCTTAAACGCCATAATTCACCACTTTTATTTGATTTTATATCATTGTAAATGACATGTGTTCAGAAGATATGTGTAGTTTTAACAGAGAGTCTTTAAACTGAACTGACTGCACTTAATCCTCGTTGTCACCGACAGAATCAGTGGCTTTTAGCAGTAAAGCTCCACTCACCCATGATTCAGAGCGCGGCTGGGATTCACATTAATGCCTTTCTGAAAGTCTATTTAAATACAGAGATATGACTTCATCCGCTATCTTCAGTTAGGATCTTCTCTTAGAGGCAGCTCCCTGTGTCCTGGAATAACTGTACCTTACCTATACAGTCTACTACGGTGTTACTGATGAGGAGAAACTGCTTCATGAGGGAAAAGTAGGTAATCTACAGCGAGATGTTAATTACATCTGAACATACCCATTGATGAACAGCTCGTGTCAGATTTATGTGAAGACCATTTGTCAGATATTTTAATGCCCTGTAAAAACTGGATCACTATAATTTCTTCCATCAACCGTGCTTTACTACAAGAGAAACGACATAAATCCAAACCTGAATTTTCAGAGATGTGATTTAGGTCTAGATGTGGAAGAGATGTCGTCTTCTTCTGGCACTTTGCCTGGTTTTGTAAAAAGGCTGTTTTAGTACGAATTCAGTAACACGTTGACCAAAGAGTTCCCATTAGATCACAAGCTTCTCTTACTGGGTATTTCTACTAGTCAGCAGATCTTCAATTTATTCCAAAATTAAATATATAGAGATTGTTTTATGTGGGTAGGAAATGCATTGCAGGAACATGGTAATCTGATTCCCCTCGCCTCATTCATGACCATTATTTGGTTAGTTAATTAATTAGTCTCCAAAGACATTATTTCATACAAAAAAAGGCAGAATAGGCTGTTTGGTACACACACAAAGATTTCCTGCGTTTCTCTGGAGGTCTTTGGTTGTTGGAAAGCAAGACGTTTAGAGATGTCACCTTGGCTTTGAAATAATAGATTGATCTAGAAATAAATAATAAAAGCTCATCTCTAGCAGCCCTATTATATTCAAATAAAAGGACACAATACCTTTCGGAAAAATTGGCATACTTATCAATCAATCCAAAATAATTAATCAAGGAAAATAAGGTTTTGTTGATTCAAATAAATAAATATAAATCACAAGTTGAAATAAAAAGGGACACATCTTTTTATCTTTCTTTTATATATATCTTTTTATATTTTATCTAAAGGGTAAAAAGTACATCTCTGACATCAAGGTGATGTGATCAAGGCTTCTTTGAAGGAAATGTGTCAATGGAGTCTCCCTTTGTTTCCCGATACACTGGCTTTTATTCTTTCTATTCAAAGTGGCTTTAAATGTGAAGGAAAGAAAGTAGGCTCTTAAATGGTGTTTTGCAATTTAAAAAGGAAAATATCACAACATTTGAAATGATATGTATATATTCAAAAAACCTAAGCAAAAAAAAGACAGCCAAAGCCACAGAAATCTTCATTCTCTGATAACCCATTATCAGTGCTTGTGTAGGCTGTTTTGAATGAACTGAGTTTGACAGCTGTGTGTCTGATGGTCTTGGAAATAAGGAAGGATACACAGGAAGCTGATCCAGGATCTCCAAAGTGTAGGAGCAAGAAACGACGAAGAAGGAAAACCTAATAAGACTGAACGTACTACTACTGATCTGAAGACCGTCAGAATCGATGTTGAATGTTTCCTAGCATCAAAACATACTTTAAAAAAAATAAAATGTAAGTTATGTAGATCACTTCCACCCCAGAATAATATTACATAAGACTAGAAAAAAACAAAATTGTGGAGGTTAAAGACAAATACACATGAGAAATTGTTTCAGAAATAAACAAAACGAAATGTTGTCTCAAAGAAAACTCCAAATGGGACAAATCAATGATTTAACGCACTTGAAACAGAATATCCGTAGAGAACACGGTGAGCAACAACTATTCAAAGGTGAAATTGAGGAACAAAAACAGGCGGTAAAGATCACACCGCATACTTGACGAGGATATGAAAGAAACCACTATTCCTATTCTTGCCTGTTATCTTGAGCTGTCGCATAAATCAGACAATGCAAAAAATGATCATTCCAACTAGGGCATCTTTAAGAGAGGGAAACCGTGTAAGTTGGGTTGAAAACACCCATAGATATCACACACACCCACTGATGCCGACATTTCAGCACTCGTGTCACTGTGTTTTATGTGATGCGAGAGAAAGGGAGAATTGTTCAAAAATGTATGAATTCTACTGAGTTTATATGTATGTCCATTGGGAGTGGCATTACAATTATTCCCTCCGTCTGTCAAGTAGTGTGCATGTGCTATAAAAAAAAAACATGTTGTTGCCAAAGTTAAAGGTGAATCATATTCTTTATTATGCAAAAGGTTTTTTTGAGACATTTGTATTATTTGTTCATGTTTGGAGTCAGGAGTAGTACAAACTGAAAAACTAAATGACCTCCAGGGTTGGGAGTTGAGGGACAGTTTGTGTCTCCAGTGAAGCTGAGGGGAAAGCAGATTTAGCTGAGCCTCAAATGTGATCAGTACAAATCTTAAAATCAATTATACATCCAACTGGTGAACAGTGCAGAGACGGTCAAATGGGGTTATTACGGTCCCTTCACTTGGCAGCAGTAAAAACTCCGGCTGCTGTATTTTTCAGAGAGAATGAGAGATGGTGAAATGGGATTAGATTAAAGTACAGATCCTCCCTTTCATTACTGGAGAAAAGTGGATGTTTTCCAACTGTAAGAATCATTACTCGTTGCATTTTTCATTAAAAAGGCGAGGTCACTGTCAAACATCATTTCAAAGGATATGACCTCTGTGTGCCTGCAGGACTCTAGAGAATAAGATATCTGCCTGTGTTAACAATCTGTTTAACTAATACATGAGTTCATTGATGTTTTTGTTCACTCAGTGGTGTAATATAACTCATTTCATTTACTCAAGTACTGTGTTGGAGGTCAAATTCGAGGTAATTGTACATTTATTTCTGCTCTAGGGCACTTTCACTTCTACACTAATAATAATAATAATAAATGATACTTGTATAGCGCTTTTCTAGACACTCAAGGATGCTTTGACAGAGAATAAAAAACAACAAGAAAAATACAAAAAGAGATGCATTCAAAGTGGTTGAATGCAGTGGGAACAAGTGGATTCTGAGTGATGACACTAGATGTGTGATAGACTGAAAGATGAACGTTCCTTTGTGTGTTGAAAAACTTAAGCTGAACAAACTATTTACAAATGCCTGGGAAA